AAAAAAAAAAAAAAAAAAAAAGATAAAGGGGATATCACCATGGATCCCACAGAAATACAAACTACCATCAGAGATTACTAAAAATAGCTCTATGCACATAAACCAGTAAACCAGGAAGAAATGGATACATTCCTGGACACTTGTACTCTACCAAGACTAAACCAGGAGGAAGTTGAAACTCTGTATAGACCTATAACAAGGGCTGAAGCAGAGGCAGCAATCAGTAGCCTATCAACCAAAAAAACATCCAGGTCCAGACGGGTTCACAGGCAAATTCTACCAGACATAGAAAGAGGAGCTGGCACCATTCCTTCTAAAACTGTATCAAACGATACAAAAGGAGGGAATCCTACCTAACTCATTTTATGAGACCAACATCATCCTGATTGATACCAAAACCAGGCAGAGACTCAACTAAAAAAGAAAACTTCAGGCCAATATCCATGATGAACATTGATGGAAAAATCTTCAATAAAATACTGGCAAACCGATTGCAACAGCGCATCAAAAAGCTTATCCATCACAATCAAGTAGGCTTCATCCCGGGGATGCAAGGCTGGTTCAACATACACAAATCCATAAATGTAATCCATCACATAAACGGAACCAAAGACAAAAACCACATGATTATCTCAATAGATGCAGAGAAGGCCTTTGACAAAATTCAACAGCACTTCATGGCAAAAACTCTCAATAAACTAGGTATAGACAAAACGTATCATAAAATGATAAAAGCCATTTATGATAAACCTACAGCCAACATCATACTGAATGGGCAAAAGCTGGAAGAACTCCCTTTGAAATCAGGCACTAGACAAGGATGCCCTCTCTTATCACTCCTATTCAATATTGTATTGGAAATTCTAGCCACAGCAATCAGGCAAGAAAAAGAAATAAAGAGTATTCAAATAGGAAAGGAGGAAGTCTCTATTTGCAGATGACATGATAGTATATCTGGAAAACTCCATTGTCTCAGCCCAAAACCTTCTCAAACTGATAAGCAACTTCAGCAAAGTCTCAGGATATAAAATTAATGTACAGAAATCACAAGAATTCCTATATACGAGTAACAGACAAACAGAGAGCCAAATCAAGGGCAAACTCCCATTCACAATTGCTACAAAGAGAATAAAATACCTAAGAATACAACTAACAAATGATGTAAAGGACCTCTTCAAGGAGAACTACAAACCACTGCTCAAGGAAATAAGAACACAAACAGATGGAAAAACATTCCATGCTTATGGTTAGGAAGAATTAATATCATGAAAATGGCCATACTGCCCAAAGTAATCTATAGATTAAATGCTATCCCCATCAAGCTACCAATGACCTTCTTCACAGAACTGGAAAAAGCCACTTTAAACTTCATATGGAATCACAAGAGAGCCCGCATACCCAAGACAATCCTAAGCAAAAAGAACAAAGTCGGAGGCATCACACTGCTGGACTTCAAACTATATTACAAGGCTACAGTAATCAAAAGAACGTGATACTGGTACCAAAACAGAGACATAGATCAATGGAACAGAACAGAGGCCCCAGAAGCAACACCACACATCTACAACCATCTGATCTTTGACAAACCTCACAAAAACAAGCAGTAGGGAAAGGACTCCATGTTTAATAAATGGTGTTGGGAAAACTGGCTAGCAATGTGAAGAAAGAAACTGGACTCCTTCCTGACACCTTACCCTAAAATTAACTCCAGATGGATTAAAGATTTAAACATAAAACCTAACACCATAAAAACAGTAGAAGAAAATGTAGGCAAAACCATCCAGGGCATAGTCATAGGCAAGGACTTCATGACTAAAACACCAAAAGCAATGGCAACAAAAACCGAGATAGACATATGGGATCTAATTAAAATTCAGAGCTTCTGTACAGCAAAAGAAACCATCATTAGAGTGAACCAGCAACCAAGAGAATGGCAAAAAGTTTTTGCAATCTACCCATCTGACAAAGGGCTAATACCCAGGATCTACAAAGAACTAAAACAAATATACAAGAAAAAAAACAACCCCATTCAAAAGTGGGCAAAGGATATGAACAGACACTTTTCAAAAGAAGACATATATGAGGCCAACAAACATATGAAAAAATGCTCATCATCACTAGTCATTAGAGAAATGCAAATTAAAACCACATTGTGATACCATCTCACGCCAGTTAGAATGGCGATCATTGAAAAATCTGGGTACAACAGATGCTGGAGAGGATGTGGAGAAATAGGAACACTCCTACACAGTTGGTGGGAGTGTAAATTAGTTCAACCATTGTGGAAGACAGTGTGGCAATTTCTTAAGGATCTAGAAATAGAAATTCCATTTGACCCAGCAATCCCATTATTAGGTATATACCCAAAGAACTATAAATTGTTCTGCTATAAAGGCACACATATGTTCATTGCAGCCCTGTGTACCATAGCAAAGACCTGGAACCAACCCAAATGCCCATCAATGATAGACTGGGCAGAGAAAATGTGGTACATATACACCATGGAATACTATGCAGCCATAAAAAATGAGTTCGTGTCCTATGTAGAGACTTGAATGAATCTGGAAGCCAGCATTCTGTACAAACTGACACAAGAACAGAAAACCAAACACTGCATGTTCTCACTCATAGGTGGGGGTTGAACAATGAGAACCCGTGGACTCAGGGAGAGGAACATCACACACTGGGGGCAGTTGAGGGGGGGTAGGGGAGGGTAAGCAGGGGGTGGGGAGGGTGGGGAGGGTGGGGAGGGATAACATGGGGAGAAATGCTGGATATAGTATACACCTAATGTAAAATTAAAAAAAAAAAAAAAGAGACAGGGTCTTACAACTTTGCTCAGGCTGGCATTGAATTCCTGGGCTCAAGCAATCATTCCCCCTCAGCCTCACAAGTAGCTTGGACTACAAGCATGTACCCTTGTGCCCAGAAATAGATAATATTAATAACAGCATACAGATATGAAAATCAGTTTTCAGGAATGCAATGCCATGCAATAGGGTTCAAATTATCAAGTGAGAGTGCAAATCCAAGGAAAACTGGGAAGAGAGGGATTTAGTGACACAGCTCTCTCTTGTTCATTCTTGGTGATCATCACTAGATTCTGGTCTTACAAGACTGGCCAGATGAGGAATATGATTTCTATAAGAAATGAGAGATCTGAGAATGAAGGTACTCTCTAAGTCAGTGACCCTTCATCAGAATTTCCCCACCTCAGATCCCCCAAGTCAGAATCTCTGAAAATATCATGTGGACATATGAATAGGGTAAAGGATGACGGAAGTGTTCATACATATTAACATCCTTAAAAGCATCTAATAATCAACTGCATGCCCACTTAGAAAACATAAAGACCAAAGGCATATTTTTGTAGGTATTCTATAGTTATGGATATTGTAAATAAACATGCTTGTTGGGGGTACTCATCATTTGTCTCTTTTGTAAAGTCTATAGTTCTGAAGTGATTGGCTGCCATTGCATTTTCTCCTCTTTTACTTAAAGTATGACCAGAATAATTAATGAATGAGGCTAATCTAGGAAGCAAGTAAAAGGGGGCTGATAGAGGGGCACTAGATCAGTGGAATTGTTGAGTGCCTTAAATCTCAAAGCCTTCTGCACAATACAACTTACTTTAAATCTTCCCTTTCAGAAGGCATCAAATTCAGAGAGGATAAGATGTATGCATTTGATAGATGCAAGTGTTTACCTTAAGACTGAAGTTCTGTTTCCTTTATGCTCATGTTGTACCAGGAACAACCACGGAATTTTTAAACACACTATAGTCTGCTTCCGCAGCTCTCTGTTTATTCAGTATTGCTTTAGAATTGTTTATATCCCTGTCTGGAAGAAGTCATTCTGCTTCTCAGACAATATAAAAAAAAAGTCAGAAATATCAGCTAAAGACGTGAGTTTTTTCAAACAGAAGAAAAATCTGATAGTGTATATTCAAATGAACTGATTTGGAAGCAGGAAGTAAATTTCAGAACTATATAAATAAGTTAGAAAAGCTTAAAAATATTATCAGCCTGGAATTCACCTAAAATTTGTTATAAAGTCCTTTTGGATATCATATCTTTTTGAAGGAATACTGGCTAAAAATTTAATATGGGTCTTTCAGTAGTGGTATTATACATAACATTGGTATTTCAGTGGTGATATTATATATAACAACTCATTTCTTATTTTTGCCATTGACTTAATCTAGAGCAGTGTTTCTCAAACAATTTTCCTTTGCAACATGCCAAACTTAGATTTTTCAACTTCTAAAATCCAGCAACAGATCTCTTTTCACTCTAAATAATAATAATAAAAAAACCTCAAGTACTTTTTTATTTATTTACAGGTGTTATTTATCTGCTCATAAATGCTGATAGTCAAGAACAAAATGAACAAGTCACAAGATATTGAAAACAAACATCCTTAGGAGCAGCTGATCCTGGTGTGCCAGGCTGGCTTCTTTGAGATGTGAAATTGTGATTCTTCATTATATTGCTTAAGTCAAATGTCACGTGGTATGATAGGAGGCGTGTTCCTATGATAGAATTATCATCAGCAGTAGGTAAGAATGTTCTTCAAGGATCATGAGCACCTATAGTAACACACTCATACCAAGAATTTGAGAGTTACTGATTTTGAGAACTCATTGCCTTTAATCACAAGGTCTCCCTTTGTCATTTTTGTTATGCATATGCCCTCTGACCCAGTTTTCTGACTTCTATTATATCCACTAGAGAAAAAATTTTAAACACATGCACAAGATGTTTATTATAGCATTGTTTGTAATATTTGAAAATTGTGGCCAGGTACTGTGGCTCATATCTGCAATCCCAGCACTTTGGGAGGCCAAGGTGGGAGAATCACTTGAGCCCAGGAGTTCAAGACCATTCTGAGAAACATGGTGAGATCTTGGTCTCTACAAAAAATTTAAAAGTTAGCCACCCTTAGCTGCTTGGGAGGCTGAGGTGGGAGGACCACTTGAGCTCCAGAGGCCAAGGCTGCAGTGAGCTGTGTTCATGCCACCGAACTCAAGCCTGGGCAACAGAGCAAACCCTGTCTCAAAAAATAAACAAACAAACAAATGAAGAAAAATTGCATACAACTCAAACATATGAGAATGTAAATCTTAGAATATTCACATAGTAGTTTTACAAAACAAAATAGCACTATTTATATTGATATGAATGATCATCGAGGCATAGATAAATAAATAAAAGTAAGCGGAAGAATAATCCATATATATGATCCCTGTATATGCTGTATTTGGTACACATGAGGCAAGTGGTAGGAAATGAAGGGGGTCTTAGAAAAAGTTCAGAGATGTCACACACGAGACTTTTAGTGGAAGGGTGAAGTTGCAAGGATGAAGGAGAACCTGAACTTTTTAATCTACATACTTCTGTGTTGTTTAAATGTATTCATAAATCATTTGTGTGCCTAAAAATATTTTTTAAAAGAGAAATCACGTGCTTATAAAAGCACGTGTGACAAAATTTCTTTTCTTTAGAATTTAGTGCTAGAAAAACTTGCATTCAAATAAGAATTTGTTTGTGTTTCTTCAATTCTAATGGAAATAATTCAAGAATGTTTCCCTTTTAATTCTGCCTTTCAGGAAGCCCAGAATCAAAATGGACACTCAGTTGGAGCAGCCGCACTAGCCTGCCAGGTTAGCAGATTTGCTACCACATCTTTCTACAGATCCCATTTGCAATTTTCTAGGTTTACACTATCAAACTGATTTTCTATATAATCTTCGTTATAAGCCTCTTCAGATGTTTTTAAAAAGAAATGAGGAATACATCAATGGATAAACAATCAAATGATTATTTTCATTGAGTTAGAAAGTCATTTCACATTTCAGAATGGCTGTTAGTGACAGTTGACTTCTACCTAAATGTAACTCAATATTAGACATTCTTATTCTATAACATGTAACTCATACCTTAACAAAAATAATCAGTGGGCTCCAGAACCCACAGAAAAATATATTCAGGATTTTGCTTTTCCCCCACTGTACTGTCTGAGGTGGTTGTTTAGGTCTAGTGAGCTACTAAAGTTAATTATACCCAAGGGAAATACACAGACCTCAGGGATTTGATGGCAATGTATCTATTTATTGAGGTCCTCTGTGTGTGAAGTAAAATAGTCCTTAAAGAAGATTAAATGGAAAGACCCCAGTACAGATTTATACAAGCAAGTAAAAAGATAGCCTGCTTCAAATAGCAAAGTTTAAAAACCATTCTATAGAATACTGACAATCACAGGCTCAGGCTCACGCTTCCCCACGCATTTCCACCCCAACTCACATTTGGGTAAAGCATTCTGTTTTACAGGTTTCAAGCATGGCTCCATCCTTGCTTTAAAAAAACAGAAAACCAAACCACTTTTGGTACATTTTGGTGTGTTCTTTATTTTGAATGTCTTTTGAAACACATCCTTCTATGTTCCGGAAATAAACTGTCAGCTCCCTCTCTTGTCCTGGTGAAACTTCCCACGGTCAGTTCCCCATGCAAACGAAGCCATGAGAGAAGTGTTTTAGACAAGCCTTTTCCCAACTAATGGCTTGAATGTGCTCTGGGAATGCTAACATGATTTTTTAATTAACATTAATTCTGCTTAGCTTCAACTATGAAAGAAATGGGGTTTCTTCAAACACCAATTAACAAAGCAAACCCCAATAAAGGGAAAATACTGGCTCCCCACCTCCAGCCCCCAACAGGAAATTCCCCCCTGTTGAGTTTTCCCCAAGGTCTCTATAAACTTTTTCTGATGAACTTGGTAAAGCCTTAATGAGAATGAATCAGCACAGATTTTCCATCATATAAACAAAAATATTTAATTTCATGCAAGGGGACAGCGTGCTGCATTCTGCCTAGCCCACCATATAATATCTTCAGTTTTTCCTCCTTCCTAGGAATTTATTTCTCATAGTATTTTCATTACAGTAATTCCTCAGAGTTTCGCAAACCTGAGGACTGTACCTCAACATCATAGATGAAACAAAAAGACCTAAGCCCTTAGCTCATTGCAGACTCTATTTTCTTACTAGAAGCAGAGGGAAAATATTTTCCCTCTTTGTGTTTGCACAGAATAAATTTCCCTGCATGGGCTACTCCTAGGACCCAGAGGGACAATCATACTTCCAGACATGCCCAGAGGGCAAAGCAACGCATCCAAAGATCCCACTAGGACAACCTTTCTCACATCATATTCAGAAAAACACAAGATGTTATTCTGTGTACTACTCAAAAAGGGTTTTGTGGTCAAATAAACTTGGGAAATGCTTCAAACCATATTTATTTGGAGATTCACAAAGCATGTCAACCTGTTAAAGGCTCTGAAAACCATGTAATTAGAAAATCTAAGTAACTTTGCTTAACCCTATTTATTTTTCTGACTAATTTAATCACAACACCTTTCTTCATGGAATATGACCATTCCACAAATCACTTTAAAAATGAGAAGGAAGTGAATACTTACTAAGCACCAACCATGTGCATTGATTATTTCAGTTAATCATCCTGACAGCTCTATAAGTATTATTATTATTATTATCCCCATTTTACAGGTTAAAAAAATGCTGAAGTTCAAAATGTTTTTTAAAACATGTCCAGCTTTACATACATAATAAATTAATGCGGCTAGCATTCAAATCCAACTCCAAGACAGTAACTCAGATGGGTGAGGAGGTTTAAAACTATATCACATGAGGAAAATCTTCTAACTTAATTTTAGCTTAGTCTGATCTGGAGTTTTTGGGGAGAAGAGGCGTGATATGATGATGTCTTTAAATATTTGAAAGTTGGGACTATCAAGTGAAAACTGGATTATTCAAGCAGCAGGTGGTGTGACTCTACCTTCAAGCTTCCATTCAGGCCTGAAACTATAAGCTTTTGAGCTGTTAAAGATGCACAAAGGAATGGTTCACTGCCACTGGTGACCAATTATCTTCCCAGAGGCTCACCTCTAAATTAATATAGCCTGGAATTCCATGAAATGTCCTTACAACTTATAAATATAATAAATGCAACTGAAGAAAAATAGTTTTAAGGCTATCAACACAACGTTTTTCAGTCAAACAGAAAGAATCCCAATTATTTTATGATGAAAGAACCAAAGCCTTACTATACCATAATTTGTCATGAAGTAAAATGGCAACATTTTTATTAGAAGACATTGTGTTAAACTGCTTTCACACTGCTATAAAAATAGTCCCAAGACTGGGTAATTTATAAAGGTAATGGGTGTCATTGACACAGTTCTGCATGGCTGCGGAGGCCTCAGGAAACTTACAGTCACGGTGGAAGGAGAAGCAGGCACATCTTACATGGTGGCAGGAGAGAAAGGAGAAAGTGAAGGGGGAAGAGCCTCTTATAAAACCATCTGATCTTATGAGAACTCACTCTCTCTCAGGAGAACAGCATGGGAGAAAACGCCCCAGTGATTCAATCACCTCCCTTCCTCGACACATGGAGATTACAGGTCGCTCCTTTGACACATGGGGATTATAATTTGAGATGAGATTTAGGTGGGGACACAGAGCCAAACAATATCACTCAGCCAATGGCGTTTATTTATACAAGTGCTAGAAAGAACCTTATAGTAGTTGTCTCTCAAGACATCATCGCACATGATTCTATTCCACAAAAAGTGGTGTTACAATGAACATTTAAGGCATAAGGGGAGTAAAATTTCAGACTAGCAACATCTGGGAAGCCTTCTTGCATAGTTAATCAACTAGTTGCAATATTTATAGAGGGCCCTCAGGAAGTACACAGAAATATGCCAGATTTGGGCATGGAAGAGAGCTTACAAAGTCAAATATATGGAGATACAGATAGAGACAGAGATATATTTTGACCAAGAAAAGAGTAGAAAAATGTGAAGGAATTATATTAAATTAAAAAATACTGCACTTTTATTTTGTGTGTGTATAACACTAGTAATATTTTAGCAAAGTATTTAGAGAAAATACCACAAATCATGAAGAGTAGTTCTGCATACTGTGCAAGTCTGATTATGATTTTTCTAAAGACCAATGTCGAAATGTGTTGACCAATAATCAGCTCCATGAGTTAGGTTTCTGTACAGTCCTCAGTAAACTGCCCTCCACTGTGGTGACAAAGCTAATAACGCCTAATTATTTACCAGGGTTTTCTGCCTTGCTCCTAGTCTAATTAATTAGGGCTAGGAGCAGCGTTTTACTACATCTCTTAGGGAAATCATTCATATACAAAACTATTTTGTCTGGTTTTTTGTTGCTGTTGTTGTTGTTTTTGAGATGGAGTCTCTGTCACCCAGGCTGGAGTGTAATGGTGCGATCACGGCTCACTGCAGCCTCTGCTTGTTGGGTTCAAGCAATTCTTCTGCCTCAGCCTCCTGAGTAGCTGGGACTACAGGCATGTGCCACCATGCTTGGCTAATTTTTTGTATTTTTAGCAGAGACGGGGTATCACCATGCTGGCCAGGCTGGTCTCGTGATCTACCCTGACCTCGTGATCTACCTGTCTCAGCCTTCCAAAGTGCTGGGATTACAGGTGTGAGCCACCATGCCCGGCTGGGTTAACTTTTTTTAAAAAAGCCAAGTGGAACATGCTTTAGATCACTTGGAAGTCATTTATTCATCAAAATTGTGCTGAGAGCCAACTACATGCAGGGCACTGAGAGGATGCAGTGAAGACTAAAAAACAGGTTTGTCTGGAAGAACTCATGTTCCAGAGAAGTAGAAAAAACATTCAGCAGTAACAAGAAAACAAAGTAGACTGTGACAATCACTGCAAGAGAAGGAGAGACTAAGTGCAATGGATTTCTGAGGATGGTATTTATTTACTAATGTAATACGTGTGTCAGATCTAGACTCAGCAGGCTATCATGGGTTCCTCTTCCATGACATTCTACTCAGCAGACACAAAGGTCTACTTAAATATGCAGGACAGCAATAAAATCTGAAAAGATAAATAATTTTTTTTACACATTGAAGATATCCTTGATAACATTAAGGATCTCTGTGTTTTCATCCTGTAGATGCAAAAACAAAACAACTTCATACGTAATCCATTCAAAATTCTATGGAATAAATTAGTGTCTTGGAATTCTGGATAATTTCTATTGTTCAGAATGTGAATATTCCCTTAATTTCTTTGCTAATTAATAGGAGTAATTTATAAAATTGATTATGAAAGAAATGCCTTAAAACCTTAATACTATATAATGGGAAGGCAGAAGTAAAAGAATAGACCCTATTTCCATTTCTACTGCTAAATTCCATTTGGCTTTCTAAATAATTTCCTATGAAGAAACTAGAGATAAATTACCTTAAAATGGATAGCGTGTATGCTGTTTAATTGCCAGGAACTAATAAGCATTTTGAATCAAGTAAGACTGAAGCTTCTTAAAACTCTGTAGCTGAAACTTGTTACATATTTTGAATTAAGAAACATGAAATTTTCTTCAAAAAATAATTTCATGCTCAGAATTACTAAAAACATGAAGCATAGAATAACGCTACCTTTTCCTATTGTCTTTTCATTATTTTTTTCTTAAGACATAGGTGACATATCCAAGTGCTTGTCCTTCATCAGATGTTTCTATAAGCAGCAGAGCAGAAAGCTCTAATATCTATTCATTCGTAATGTGTCATTCTGAATGTATTAAGGATAACTGACTTCACATGTCATAGGTAATTATAAAAGTCACCTTCAGTTTCAGGTTTTTAAAGCACAATACCATATACTTTTAATAAGCATATGTATTGATGTCTTTTGACATGTCTGAATCTCTTTTCATTTCTCACTTTTATGGTGGATAAATTGTCTCCATGGTCATTTAATTTAAAAGATTAATTTTCTCTGCCAGGTGCAGTGGCTCACGCCTGTAATCTCAACACTCTGGTAGGCGAAGGTGGGTGGATTGCTTGAGTCCAGGAGTTCAAGAACAGCCTGGGCAATAAGGCAACACCTTGTGTCTATTAAAAATACAAAAATTAGCTAGGTGTGGTGGTGTGTGCCCATTGTCCTAGCTCCTTGGGAGGCTGAGATGAGAGAATCCCCTGAGGCCGAGAGGTTGAGGATTGCACCACTGCACTCCAGCCTGGGAGAGAGGAAGAAAATGACAAAATATATTTTTTCTAATTTTAACTCCTTAACTGGGATGTGCAATCAAATTTTACCATGCTTTTTTTCTTGTAAGTGAGAGAGTTTATTTGTGTCCTGAGATTCAGTAACCCAGAATGTTCTGTCCCTAGTAGTAATTTTTAGAGTCTCATCTGAGAAAATAAGAGAGTTAATAAAGTATAGGTGAAAAATTGAAAGTTGATATATCACATTCAGACAGCAGGGAGTAGTAGGTAAGAACTTGCTACTCATGAATGTTGTGACTTCTGTGAAGGGTACCGTCAGTTCAGGTGTGAATGGCCAGCGTGGCTTTCTAAGAGTATTAATGGTGGTTCATAGGACCTGCCTGCAGATAAATTCTAGTGGGCTGAGCTGGAATCACCCAGATGTCTAGGCCTGCAGAGATGTATGGATCAACACTTCAGATTGAACAGTGCTCTTACTGCGTTCAAGGGCATGGGTGGGCAACTTCCAGACTGTTTACAGGTTTGGCACGTTCATTGGCAGAAGACAGACATTTAGTAGATCATTCACTTTTTAGATATTAAGGTGCCTTCATCACAGGAAATCTTTCTAATACTTCTGTCATGGAATCCTGACTCCAGAGGTTTCTTTGCACTGAACCAGTCATTAAGAACTTGTTAGCCTCTGCCTAGCCTCTCAACAGTATGATACATGACTGATCGTGGCTTGTTTCTTGAAATACTTTTTTCTTTGGCTTCCACAATGTTGCATATCCTATTGTCCCTCCTGCTTCTTTGGCCTCCCTTTTCAAATCCCTTTGCATGTGCATTTTTCTCTAAGCAGCCTTTAAAGACATCATGATATGTGGTCAAATACATATGATGGACTAAGAATAAATTAGACAATACAGCTGTATTAGGGTGGGCTAAACTGCTAAAACAAATAGTACATTCCAAAAATGTATGGTAACTCAAATATAACAGAGGTCTGTTTGTTCATCTAATAGTCCAGAGTAGGGGTTCACAGTTTGCAGACAGCTACCCGACATGGTGATTCGGGGATCCAGTCTCCTGCTACCTCAAAGCTCCACCATAGCCATTACTGGGTCCACTGAAGAAGAGGATAAAAGGCAAATAGGACGCATAACAAAGGCATTTCTGCTGAAAACCCACTGTTCAGAACTTAGTTATATAATCACACGTAACTGCAAAAGAGATGGGACTGTGCTCTAGCCATGTGCCCAGGCAACAAAATGGAGAACAGATTTTAAGAGACTCTCCCACAACACTTCACAATGAATTAATGGCATTTGTATACAAAGAAACAACACAACAGAAAAGTGAGTACAGGGCATACACATACATACACAAAAATATTACCAAGGCAGAAGTAAGTATCACCAATAAAGAGATATTCAACGTTAGTCTTAATCAGGGAAATGCTTAAAATAACAAGAGTATGTAATTGTTAAATATTTGGAAAAGTAATAATACCAAGTATTGGGAGTATTGAGGGAAACAGACATTCTCATATGTTGCTGATGGAAGTGCACATTATACAACATTTTAAAAACAATTTGCTAACTATACTGCAATATAAACTCGTACTTTCATCAGTAATCCAACTTTTGGGGAACTGTTTACTGTGGTCACTGTTATGTGCCTCTGGAATCCCACTCCAACACTAAAGCACAAGTTCGCTCAGCTGCCAGAAGCCTTGCCTGCTGATGCCCCATGGCTGTGTCTCTCGTTGGGGATTTTTCCTCCACAGAAGGGAGCTGCTTTACCTTGAACCATGCCTGCTCCCTGGAAGAAGCCTACCTGTGGTGGTGGTCAGTGCAGAGGACACAAAGACTGCCTTCCTTACCCCACCTTGGAACATTTCTCAAGGACTGGATCACTGAATTAAAAGAATACATAGATCTAAAATCGACAAACTAACATAACAATTAAAAGAAATAGAGAAGCAAGAGCAAACAAATGCAGAAGCTAATAAGAAATAACTAAGATCAGAGCAGAACTGAAGTGGACAGAGACATGAAAAACCATTCAAAAAATTAATGAATCCAGGAGCTGGTTTTTTGGAAAAGATTAAAAAGGTAGATAGACCATTAGCCAAACTAATAAAGAAGAAAATAGAGAAGAATCAAATAGACACAATAAAAAATAATATAAGGGATATCACCAGTGACCCCACAGAAATACAAACTACCACCAGAGAATACTATGAACACCTCTATGCAAATAAACTAGAAAATCTAGAAGAAATGGATAAATTCTGGGACACATATACCCTCCCAAGACTAAACCAGGAAGAAGTGGAATCCCTCAATTGACTAATAACAAGTTCTGAATTGAGGCAGTAATTATAGTCTACCAACCAAAAAAAGCCCAGGACCAGATGGATTCACAGTCAAATTCTACCAAAGATAAAAAAGAGGAGCTGGTACCATTCCTTCTGAAACTATTCCAAACAATAGAAGAAGAGGGATTCCTCCTTAACTCATTTTATGGAGCCAGCATTATTCTGATAACAAAACCTGGCGGAGGCATATCAAAAAAAGAAAATTCCAGGCCAATATCCCTGATGAACATTGATGTGAAAATCCTCAATAAAATACTGGCAAACCAAATCCAGCAGCATATCAAAAAGCTTCTCCACCATGATCAAGTTGGCTTCATCCCTGGGATGCAAGGCTGGTTCAACATATGCAAATCATTAAGCATAATCCATCACATAAATAGAACCAATAACAAAAAACACATGATTATCTCAATAGATGCAGACAAGGCCTTTGACAAAATTCAACACCCCTTCATGCTAAAAACACTCAATAAACTAGGTATTGATGGAACGTATCTCAAATGATGCTATTTATGGCAAACCCACAGCCAGTATCATACTGAATGGGCAAAATATGGAAGCATTCCCTTTGAAAACTAGCACAAGGCAAGGATGCCCTTTCTCACCACTCCTACTCAATGTAGTTTGGAAGTTCTAGCCAGAGCAATCAGGCAAGAGAAAGAAATAAAGGGTAGTCAAATAAGAAGAGAGGAAATGAAATTGTCTCTGTTTGCAGATGACATGATTGTATATTTAGAAGACCCCACTGTCTCAGCCCAAAAACGCCTATGCTGATAAGCAACTTCAGCAAAGTCTCAGGATACAAAATCAATGTGCAAAAATCACAGACATTCCTATACACCAATAATAGACAAACAGAGAGCCAAATCATGAGCGAACTCCCATTTACAACAGCTACAAAGAGAATAAAATACCTAGGAATACAACTTACAAGGGACGTGAACAAGCTCTTGAAGAACTACAAACCACTTTACAAGGAAATAAGAGAGGACACAAACAAATGGAAAAACATTCCATGCTCATGGATAGAAAGACTCAATATTGTGAAAATGGCCATACTGCCCAAAGTAATTTATAGATTCAATGCTATTCCCATCAAGCTACCACTGGCTTCCTTGACAGAACTAAAAAAAAATCTATTTTAAATTTCATATGTAACCAAAAAGAAAAAAGCTGGAGGCATCATGCTACCTAACTTCAAACCATACTACAAGGCTCCACTAATAAAAGCAGCATGATACCAGTACCAAAACAGATACATAGGCCAATGGAACAGAATAGAGGCCTCAGAAATAATGCCACACATCTACAATCATCTAATCTTCAACAAACCTGACAAAAACAAGCAATGGGGAAGAATTCCCTATTTCGTAATTTGTGCTGAGAACACTTACTAGCCATATGCAGAAAAGTGAAACTAGACCCCTTCCTTATACAAAAATTAACTCAAGGTGAATTAAAGATTTAAATGTAAAACCTAAAATCATAAAAACCTAGGCAATACCATTAGGACATAGGCATAGGCAAAGACTTCATGACTAAAACACCAAAAGCAATGGCAACAAAAACCAAATTGGCAAATGGGATCTAATTAAACTAAAGAGCATCTGCACAGCAAAAGAAACCAGCATCAGAGTGAACAGGGAACCTACAGAATAGAAGGAAATTTGTGCAATCTATCCATCTGACAAAGGACTAATATCCAGAATCTCTAAGGAACTTAAACAAATTTACAAGAAAAAAACAACCCCATCAATAAGTGGGTGAAGGATGTGAACAGACACTTCTCAAAAGAAGACATTTATGCGGCCAACAAACATATGAAAAAAAGCTCATCATCACTGGTCATTAGAGAAATGCAAATCAAAACCACAATGAGATACTATCTCACACCAGTTAGAATGGTGATCATTAAAATGTCAGGAAACAACAGATGCTGGAGAGGATATGGAGAAATATGAACACTTTTATACTGTTGGTGGGAGTATAAAATAGTTTAACCATTGTGGAAGACAGTGTGGTGATTCCTCAAGGATCTAGAAATAAAAATACCATTTGATCCAGTAATCCCGTTACTGAGTATATACACAAAGAATTATAAATCATTCTGTTATAAAGACACATGCACACGTATGTTTATTGCAGCACTATTTACAATAGCAAAAACATGGAACCAACCCAAATGGCTATCAATGATAGACTGGATTAAAAAAATGTGGCACATATACACAATGGAATACTATGCAGCCATAAAAAAGATTTGAGTTAATGTTTTTTGAAGGGATATGGATAAAGCTGAAAACCATAATTCTCAGCATACTAACACAGGAACAGAAAACCAAACACTGCATGTTCTCACTCATAAGTGAGAATTGAACAATGAGAACACATGGACACAGGGAGGGGAACATCATACACTGGGGCCTGTCAGGGGTGGCAGGAAAAGCATTAGGACAAATACCTGATGCATGCGGGGATTAAAACCTAGATGATGGGTTGATGGATGCAGCAAACCACCATGACACATATATACTTATGTAACAAACCTGCATGTTCTGCACATGTATCCCAGAACTTACAGTATAATAATAATGATGATGATGATAAAATACATAATTTCTACACTAGTACCTACAAGCCTCATCATATATCTAGATTGTAAAATCAGGAATAAAGTTGTTTTATTAGACAGTCAGTAACTCACAGAAAAAGGTTTTTGTCTATTTTGTAGACTAGTGGTAGACAAGTAACACAGTTTGAAGAAATTTTTTGTAGGTTTATCTTAAGATATAAAGTTTGTTTCCCTATAACTACATTGCATGATTCAAGGTTTTAGCTCATTGTGGTGGAGCAAAATGCCAGTTTTGCTTTTCAACAATTTTTATGTATTATTAAGATATAACTGGGCACAGACTTGTTTGTAATTCACCCTAGATAGTTTTATATACTTGTACTTTACTTTTATGTTTCTTGTATAGTGCTCTACATTTGATTCTCATGACAATTTTGGGAAGCAGCCAAATGGCTTTGGTGTGCCCACTTTATAGATAAGCAAACAGTTTAAGAAAGATTTTTTTTGTTGTTGTAAATCCATTCACAGCCAGTGCATTGGTAGAACTGGAACTTAAACTGAAGTCTCTTATTACCTAGAATAGATGTGTCCTCTTCAAGCACTTTTTTTCATAACAACCCACACAGGAATCTTGAAGCTGCTTTCCTTATGTAAATATTTCTTCCTTTTCCTCAAAACAGGTAATTATTCTAAGGAGAAACAGTCATATCATTTTAAGGACCATTGTATGCAGTTATCTCCATGGAGGAATAAAAAGAACAGGTACTTCTGGAACAGAGGCTACATCTTATTCCAAGTTTTTAATGGGTTCAGAATATTTTGGCCATGTCTACATGATAAAAATAAAATGTTTTCCCCACTCAAAGCAACTGCAGATTTGTGAATGTGGGGTGTGTGTGTGTGTGACAGAGAGAGAGAGAGAGAGAGAGAGAGAGAGAGAGAGAGAGAGAGAAACACAAAAATGGCTAAGCTCCCCCTGACCTACCTTCTCATTTCTGAAACTGAAACTGAAAATTCCTTGCTTGGGACACTAGGGATCTGTTCTGTCTGGGCATGCAGCCGTATTGGGGGCATGCCCAAGGGGACTGTGCCTTAGCTCCTAAAGTATGCTGCCCCAGGACACCAGTGCCCCCATCCCTTCTTGTCATCCAAGTTAACTACAATCTGAGAATGTCTCCTGAACATGCATCTGATGATAATCTCTCATTGTAATGATTGCCGAGAAAGTAACCAAGGTGTGGCTTTAGAACAATCCGTTCTTTCAAAATTATAAAACCACTCTAAGGAAACCTTAATTTTGGTGTCTAGAATTAAAACAAAACAAAAATAAAAACAAAAAAACAAAAACACTTGCAGTTTCAGAAAGGCCTTTGTTCCAAACACAGTCTCTAACTCTTCTCTCCTGTTCATTTGCCACTGGCTGTGTCTCAACCAATGAGGTGCTCCTGCTCAAAAGGTAATACCTGGCTTTTCAGCTATGACTGTGGAATCTCACCCATGACCACCCAATGCTCTGTTTTATTTTGTTTACTATATGTATAGTGTATCTTAGCATAGATTTAACTTTTAACTATTAAATTCGTTGCCCACAAAGGCAAGTAAAACAGATAATCCCAAATATTTAGTTTCAAATTCCAGGCTGAAAATATATCTGCACTTACATTAATGCCTCTAAATGCTTAGCGGTACATTAAGGTGCAGTCCTTTTCCAAAAAGAAAATCTTTCTACTACCAAATTCCAAATACACCAAAGGTTCAGTGGACAGTGTAAAACCTCCCATCTGTTTATGTTTTGTTTCATACCAAGTTGGCCTCAGGCAGGCTTCCAGGCACCCCGTGGCCCCTGGTCTCCTTCCCTCTTCTCTTTCCTATCCCTCTGCCCTGCACCATCACTGGGTTAGGCCCCTGTCTCTTCCTGCAAATGTCTCACATACTCAAGACCATGGAGAGAAGTGTTTCTGATTCCTTTTTGGAGGGAGATGATGTCGCCACATAGCGTTGTGGGCAGTGGTCCTGGAACCTTCAAATTACTGAGTGAAGGATTTATGAGGTGAAGTTTTCTTACTCACACTGATGGACTCTCATAGGACTCACAATGATGGGTTTTCCTGGATTAACATCATAAAACAAAATGACCCCATCTCACAGAGGTCAGGATGAGAATAGGTGAAAGGGCATCAGGGGAACATCCTGTCACATCCTTTTTTTTTTTTTTTTTTTATGATAAGCATTTTAACTTCCTGGCAACTCCTGGTCTAACCTTAAATTAAGTGTTCCACCTTCAAGAGGAGAGATGGATCAGGGAAGCTGGCTGATATCAGAATATAAACTGACAACAAAACCTGATGCCCGAGAGAGAGCAAATCAGGTAATCTGCATTTTGAAAAATCAGGAGTTGATTGAATTTTACAGTTCATTCAGCAGTTTCCCAGCACTAAGTTTCTTGCTTTTCTAAAAGGCAATAGAGAGAGGAAAATAAAAGTGACCATCAAGCAGGTTGAAATTTTGCATAAATAGCAAGCAGATGAATGAAAGTAGGAGAATCCTCTGGGGTCCTGCTCCAAATGCTCTCCATACCAGGCCTCCTTTCCTTTCTTCCTGATGCAGCTGAGAGCTCTGCTGACCCTGTTTCTGTCCAGTCAAAACACACCTGTCTTCAAAGAGCCATATGTTTCACAGGAAGAGTTCATTCCCCTCCATACCCAGAAGAAGGCTGATACCATGTGTTTCTCTAAACTTGGACGCAAGGAAGAAGAGTCCAAAATATCAACAGGTAAGGATCTACTTGATACCTGGAGCCTTTACAGTCCCATAAACAGTGTATAAGCATTCCCTTTCCAACATGTCCACACCAACATCTGTTGTTTTTTGGCTTTTTAATAATTCTGGCTGGGGCAAAGTGGTATCTCATTGTGGTTTTAATTTGCATTTCCTGAATGATTAGTAATACTGAGCATTTTTTTTGTCATATATTTGTTAGCCACTTTTATATCTTCTGAGAAACGTCTCTTCACGCCATTTGCCCACTTTTTAATGGGATTACACAATCCTCTTTTAAAATAATTTAAACATATTTAGATATATTTAAAATAATTTTAATATATTTAGATCACATGATTCTGAATAATATTTGACACAACGAGTAAGATTTGCTCTAGAGATTCTAGATATTTTAGATTTGATTTCGTCCTTTTGGAATCAGCATAAACATGTTGCTCATTAGAAGAGAATATGCCAAAACTGAAAAATATGCCTTTTTAGAAAATGATCTCATTTTTGGCAGAATATCCATGACTTCTGAATGAAGACATAACCATTCTCATTCTAAACAAAATGCTATAAGGCATTTTATTTAGAAAAAGAAACATTCTTTGCATTTCCCAGAGAATGCAAAAGAAGTAAAACACATTACAAATGTTGTGTGGTTGCTTTATGAATTAGTCCTTTTATGTTTCCAAAGCAAGTACAATAGATAAGCCTCATAACTGTGTATTTTTTCCTCTAAGGGACCATTGAAAATCTTTGTGGTTAGTGATATTTTTAATTCAGCTCTGGACTTTCTCCAGGAAATCACTAATAATTACTAATTGTATTTTTGTAAGTTAATGAAAGGATACGTTCTATTTTCAATGCCACCCCTCACTTGTGTAATTCACAATGTTTCTTTTTTACATGATTGAGTAAAGCTACAATACAGAGACATGAATTAACTAAGAAAGCTCCTTTGTGTAGTTTTATAGAAATTAAGTGTAAAGTCTAGTCATGCAATTGTCTTAAAAAGAAACTATTCCTTCATCATTTTTTTCTTCCATTTTTGCTGCTTAGATTTTTTTATGAACAGTAGCAGAAAAGAGAACCATTTAGTGAAACAGTTGTTCTGAATGTAGTTATCCATTGAGACTGTGGACAATCATATTTGTAAAAAATATATTATGGAATTTCCTTAGAGAGCCTTTTTACAGTGTTGAATTTAACTGAATGTCAATAAGAATAAGACACCTGGAATAAATTTTCTGATGCTTCCAAGATTTCCAAACTGCAAATTCAGATAGCTCCTTAAATTTGTGAAATCAGTTTTATTCAATAAAATCTACAGTTCTTGTGATTAGATTGAATGGAAGTTTATGATTTAGGGAAGAATCTGCAAGGAATAACCGAGAAGAAAAACTAACATCTTGCATCACAGAGAGTTGGTTTCCCCTTTAAACTCTTCCACCAACTTGGAGGGCACCAGCATGGAAAAATACAGGTAGTTTCATTTACAAATAGTTCTTGTTTCTGAGCATCTTACATTAAAGATTGTTATAGAAACTTAACCAAGCATTATGCTTTCCTCTGTCTTTGACCTCCCTAGTATATTGCCCTGACATTGTTTTTTCTTTCTCTTTTTTATTCCTTCCTCCCTTCCTCTTCCCCTCCCTCTCTCTCTGTTTCTCTCTTTCCTTCCTTTTTTCCTTCTTTTTTAATTAAAATTTTTTGGCTTTACTTTTCATACTTTTGTCAGCCCTGAAGATAGTTTGAAGCCAAGCTTTTACTCTTAGTTTGGGGATGGAAAAATTACGCATTACCACATATTTTAAAATCATCCACTAATTCAGGAATGTTTGTGTTATGGGCTGATAGTAGAGAAATTGTGTACAAAGTAAACCAAAAGCTCTATTAAGGATATACCAAGAGTTATATGTCAATTGAGTATCAGGTACCTGGGACCACAGTCAGATAGCAGAAGGAGGAATTATGAAATACAAGGAATCATACTACTAATAATACTAGAAAATATGGGCTAGGCATGGTGGCGCACGCTTGTAATCTCAGCACTTTGGGAGGCTAAGGTGGGCAGATCACAAGGTCAAGAGATTAAGACCATTCTGGCCAATATGGTGAAAGCCCATCTCTACTAAAAATACAAAAATTAGCTGGGTGTGGTGGTGCACGCCTGTAGTCCCAACTACTCAGGAGGCTGAATCAGGGGAATCGCTTGAACACATTAGGCAGAGGTTGCAGTGAGCTGAGATTGTGCCACTGTACTCCAGCCTGGTGATAGAGCAAGACTGTCTCAAAAAAAAAAAACAAAAAATGAAAACACTGAATAGCACATACTATATGCTAGGAACTGAGTCTATATATTCATATTCCTTACAACAATCCTATGAGGTAAGTACAATCATTATGCTGATTTTATACATTAGGAAATGAGGGCACAGAAAAAAATAATAACGTGCCCAAGATTACACATCAGTATAGGTTGTGTGCCCAGGCATTCTGGCTTCAAACTCCATCCTGTTAACCACTACAGTCTTTCTGGAGACTCGTTTCATCTAGTTCAGTATCTTTTATTGGGACTACCTATTGTTGATGGCATTGACATCTTGAAGGAACAATGTGTTATCTACCATGACTAGTCAGTAGAAGTTATGAATGTGGCATTATTCCTACATATCTCCTAGGCCACTTTGTTTAAAAAAAATAAGTGTGGCCACTCATGCACCCATTCATCCTTCTATCTATCCATCTGGCTGTAAGATCCACATAAGTCTCACTGTGGGTATGAATCCTACCCAGCAACATTTCTATACAGGCCAGGTATGGTTAGAATGGACATTGAAGTAGCAAAGCCTTGAAACCAACCTAAATGCCCATCAATGATAGACTGGATAAAGAAAATGTGACACATATACATCATGGAATACTATGCAGCCATAAAAAAGAATGAGTTCATATCCTTTGCAGGGACATAGATAAAGCTGGAAACCATCATTCTCAGCAAACTAATACAGGAACAGAAAACCAATCACTGCATGTTCTCACTCATAAGTGGGAATTGAACAATGAGAACACATGGACACAGGGAGTAGAACAATGCACACCAGGGCCTGTAATGGATGGGGGAAGAGGGAGGGATAGCATTAGGAGAAATACCTAATGCATGTAGGGCTTAAAACCTAGATGATGGGTTGATGGATGCAGCAAACCACCATGGTACACGTATACCTATGTAACAAACCTGCACGTTCTGCACATGTGTCCTAGAACTTAAAGTACACACACACACACGTACACACACACACACATACTTAAGTGTATATATACATATATATATATATATATATATAAAAGAATGGACATTGAAGGAAGTCTTGAAGGGGAAAAGGTCGAACAAGGTGAAAGATTTCTGCAAGGAGAATTATGCAGCCCGAGAAGAATATGAGGAAAGAAGTGCATCATGGTTACAAATACTGGCTCCGGAATCCAGACAGACCTAGGTTCAAATCCTGCTTCTGCCTCTTCAAAGCTGCGACACCATTGCAAAACAATGTCTGTCAAGTTATTTGTAGCCCAACACCAGGCACAAGATGTTTATATAAACAAGACATGCCTACACATAGGTTTATCACAGCTAGCAATACAAATGACCGTGACTGAATAGAAATGACCATTACTGAATAGAAATCTTAGAAATATATACAAATTATCATCACTATCTTTCTCTTCTAACTCCCAGTATTCTCTGTTCTGCATAAAAATTCAGTTCCAACCCAAAAACTACCCAGCTCACTCTTCCTTATCTACAGAAGTGCAAATCCTGAAGATATTATCTGAATTGCCCACACATGGGAAAGTAAATAACTGATAAGTAATTATGCACCTTTCATGGTTGGGGACAGTGAATATTTGCCCTTAAGTAAGAACAAGATTAATGTGTTTGATGCCACTGTGACATCTCATATGCATCAGAAAAAAACAGAATTGTTGCTGATCTTCATGATCAAAGCTACGACTAATGTGTTGTTATTTTAGTAATCAGTTTCAGCTTATCCTTCACCAAAGTTCTCCCAAGGATGACCCAAAAGTAACCAGTGCCTTACCCTGCCCAGATTTTCCTGATGCTGGCAAAACTTTATTGACAATGACTAACGTCTTTTGACACCAATATATGCCAGGAACTAAGAATTTACAGTGCATTATTTCATTTAAACATTTACAGCAACATTGCAGCAACAACCACCAAGCAGTGTTGGGAGGTGACAGCAGAGAGCTGAACAGGAGTGGAGTGGTAGTCAGCCCTGAGAATTCTGAGTGCGAAGAAACAGTCTTTATTTCTTTGACTGAGAATGCTCATTGCTCTTTGCCTATAACAGAATTAAGCTTTAAAGTAATTTTTTAAATTAGCAAACTCTTATGCAGCTTTCAATAATTCAACCACACCTTGGAGACTCCCCTTGAAAAGGTGCTATGCCCATCACAATGCACACACACACACACACACACACACACACACACACACACATGCAATACTGGAACAAACCCCCTGTGGTTTGAACCCATTGCCAAAAAATATAAACAGCAGAATGGATGAAAAACACGAGGTGAAGGATGTGCCTGACTCCCCCAACCCACAGCCAATGCTAATGTACTTATGTTTGATACACACTTCCGTTAAGGCAGCAAACTTCACAGCCCAAGAATAATTTTGGGTTATTTAATTCCCACTGGGTTTCTACTGATTGTGAATTAATTTTACTCAGGTATATCTCAAGGCAAATGTTTCATGAAATTATCATATGCAAATAGTTTATGGCATATTTTACCCTTTTATTTAATTTTTTATATGCACCAGTTATTTTATGAAGTGCTTCTGAAGAAGCACATCAGAACCTGCTTTTCAGTCATTAGGCACAAAGTGAAGATTTCTACACTTAGGGTTAGTTCACAAGTTTCAGAAACCGATGACTGATTTTCTTATTTCAGAATCTGAAAATTCAGAAGTACGAAGGTCTGTTCTTTGCATATTCATTTATGCCTGTGACTCAGACAAGTATTGAGGGAGGGGATGAATCATCACGTGGAATAAATTGCAGTATTGTTAGTCTCAACATGCAAAGTTATTCTATGATACCTAATTTCAATCTGTTATGCCTAATTAAAGTGGTGATAAAATGAGAAATAGAGAATCTGAATTTTAAATAAATTTAAAAATATATAAGGATTTTTAATGAACTTAGTGGATCAAAACCTCCAAGTAAAATAAACCATCATACTTAAAATAATCTTCAGTCTTTCCTTTGTGTGTGATTGACAGGCCACCCTTCAGATTGCTCCAGCTGAACAATCTCACAGTGGACCAAGAAGGGAACTGTGTTTTAAAGGTGGCAAATAAAACTCCTGGTCCATGACACCTGAAGAGGTCTAAGTGATACATTTCATAGTTTATTTTGTGAGCCTTGGAAAGCTTAAGGCTTAGTCAATTCCAAATTCAAATGTAATACCAAGGCACTCAAAAGCTTCATGGTAGATTCTATTTGGTGAATGATCAGGCTGTGTCAACCCTAATGATTATACCTAATGAGGAAGATGGTTTCTGGGGTTAATCAGGGGCCTAACTAGTGACAATATCTTTTGCCAACATACATCTGTAAAATGAGTCTGGTTTCCATGCATAGCCTAGGGAAACCCAAAATCACATGTTTAATTATTTGGCATGTAGCAACATGACCACCCAGGGAATCTCTACCTGTTCTTCATAAGGTTGATAGTGCCTTGACCTGAACCAGTTTCAAAACTGCTAGACATCATCCTCAAGTTACATGGTGCTTAATTTGACGTTATATGCTCATGAGGCAAAAGAGATGATAGATAAGGAGGTCTGGTAAAGAAAAAGTACTCCAACTCACTATTCCTCCAATGTCTCATAGATTCTGGAGGTGAACAAAGCCCAGATTGTGCTGAGGTCTTGTACTTAGTAACTAGTCTGCAAATTCTGGTCTGAGCTCAAATGTAAAAAATTTTATTTTCTCTAAAATGGGATAGATGTGGCTCAGAATCTGATGTTTAAGACTACTGCCAGTTTTCTTCCCTTCCCCTCCCCCCCGCCTTGACTATGGAAACCACAAGAAACAGCAAGCAGGGTGGGAATGCATTTTTCAGAAAAGCAAGAAGATTCTCCTAATAGGGAAGGCACAGACACTTTGGATCCTCAGAAGTGGGAGAACCTGAGACCAGATGAAGTCCTAACTGGAATAATTAGCTGGAAGGTAAGCAGCTTATTTGGGATTTTGAAGGCTGAGTGGATGGTGGAAACAAGAAATAAAGGAGAAGAAACCCAAAATGGCAAGCTTTTTTGACAAATTGCCTGCCTGAAGCCAAGAAGCATGAAGTTCTGCCAAAGAGAACAGAGACTGGAAGGTTTCAAAACGTAGGAAGGGATTCAGAATCATTGCTTTTTAGACTTAAGGATGAAGGATTAAAGTC